TGTCCATTCTTGGATAGTAGGCAAATCTTCCTTCTTCCAGTGTTGCGCCACCAACAGTCTTGCTGCCGTTATTAGGTGCAGAACCAAGTTAGTCTCTACCACTGTAAATCTATATATCTTTCCATCCCCCCCACTATCCTGTCCGAGCTGGAGAAGCTTCTTGGATGAGAAGCAATTCGTCTTCAAAAGAAAAAGCAACGAAGTCCAGTTGCCTCCTGAAAAAAAAAGCTCCTTTAGGACAACCAGGTTGACTGAGAATCCCTACAGACCTCCAGTGATGACGCAGCCACAACTTCTGGAGGCAACTTCTGCTCCACTGATTAATTGTTCTCACTATTAGAAAATTTCTCCTTATTTCTAGGTTGAATCTCTCCTTGATTAGTTTCCACCCATTGCTTCTTGTCCTGCCTAAAGATGCTTTGGAGAATAGTTGGACTCCCTCTTCTTTGGGGCAGCCACTGAGATATTGGAACTCTGCTATCATGTCTCCCCTGGTCCTCCTTTTCATTTAACTAGACATCCCTAGTTCCAGCAACCGCTGTTTATATGTTTTAGCCTCCAGTCCCCTAATCCTCTTCGTTGCTCTTCTCTGCACGCTTTCTAGAGTCTCAGTATCTTTCTGGTATCGTGGTGATCCCAAGGTTAAGCAAGACAAGAAATAGATTTGTTCTATCCTATTGCAAAAAACAGAAGAATCGGTAGCTCGTGTCTGTACTAAACAAATTGATTCAACCGAACTAAAAATATGGGGAAGAAAATCTCTTGTTTACTGTAGCCCTTTCAAGCATAGTTTCTTTGCTCACTGCCACCACAAACTTCCCCTGCAAGTAGTTTCCCCCACCCCTGCAAGCTGCAACAAACTTTGCAGCAGCACCAGTGCTAATATGAGACAAAATCTAACCTCGGTTCCCCCCCCCAATAAAAACTCTAGAAAACAATACAGCTGAAAAAACTAAAAATAAAGGTACAGCAGAAAGTTACATGCAAAAGATGGCAGCTTACATTGGAGAAAGATGCAATTTTGAAGTCTGCGGGAAAGCAGATTTAGCTGTCAAAGAACAAATGAAGGGAGATTAATGTGTTTTTAAAAGATATTAGGCAATGTACACTCATTGTTAGATAGATAGATAGATAGATAGATAGATAGATAGATAGATAGATAGATAGATAGATAGATAGATAGATAGATAGATAGATAGATAGATAG